AAAAAGGGCCAGGTGCAGTGGCTCATGCCTGTAATCTCAGCATTTTGGGAGACTGAGGTGAAAGGACTGCCTGAGCCTACTGGTTCGAGACCTGGACAACTTGGTGAGACCTCATCTCTACAATAAATCAAGAAATTAGTCAGGCATGGTGGCACATGCCTATAGCTCCAGCTACTTGCAAGGATGAAGCAGAAGGACTGCCTGAGAGTACAGCAGGTCAAGGCTGCGGTGGCCGTGAGCATATCATTGCACTCTAGCCTAGGCGACAGAGTGAGACTCCAACTTAAAAAAAAAAAAATTACAGCCGGGCTCAGTGGCTCAGCCTGTAATCTCGCGCCTTTGGGAGGCTGAGGTGAGTGGATTGCCTGAGCCCGCGGGTTTGAGACCCACCTGGGCAGCGAGATCTCACCTCTACAGTAAATTAAAAAATTAGCTGGGCGTGGTAGCACATGCCTATAATTCCAGCTACTCAGAAGGCTGAGGTGGAAGGATTGCCGGAGCCCGGCAGGTAGAGGCTGCAGTGGCCGACAACGGCCACTGCACTCCAGTCTGGGCGACAGAGTGAGACTCCAACTCGAAAAAAAACAAAATTACCTTTCTTAATTCAAAAAATTTAAAAAAAAAGAAAAAAATAAACTCTTGCCTTTCTTGTCTGATTTTTATGAGACTTGGAATTAATTTTTAATTTAGTATTCAGTGAGATCTAAAAATTTTGAATCATTAAAATATATCAGTAATTCAAATTCATCATTTTATCTTCAAGGACATCTCCCTTGCCTAGCCAATTGCAACCTACAAATTTTACTTTTACCCTCTCTTAAATTCCAAGCAAGCTATAAAATGTTCAGACTGAACAATAAAAAGGAAAGTTTTACACAGTAATAATTACACTTATACTACTTTTTTGGGAAACTGTATTCTACTAATAACTTTTAGAAATCAAATTAGAACTCAAAATTTACTTTTGCTAAATTCACTTAAATTGTTAACCTTCTGACATCTAAAATTTTGTGGCAATATTTACCTGTGTCTTTGTCCTTAGCTTTATATACTTGGCCATAAGTTCCTTCTCCGATAATCCCAATAATGTCAAACTTGTCTACACAGCGTTTCCCCCAGTCACTTTCTGTTTGTCTTCTTTCTCCATATCGAGGACAACAAATTCTAAAAATTAAAAACAATAAAAAGGTTATTTCTAAAATTTAAATCTGGTCAAATAAAAAAAACAATTCTTTTAAGCTGGACATGGTAGCTCAAGCCTGTAATCCCAGCACTTTGGGGGGCCGAGGTGAGAGGACTGTCTGAGTTCACAGGTTCGAGACCAGCTTGGGCAACTTGGTGAGACCTCATCTCTAAAATAAATCCAAAAGATAAAGAAATAAATAAGCCAGGCTGCAGTGGCAGTGAGCATGGCAGCAGTGGTAGCGCATGCCTGTAGTTCCAGCTACTTGGAAGACTGAAGTGGAAGGATCACCTGAGCCCAGCAGGTCAAGGCTGTGGTGGTCCTGAGTGTGCCACTGCACTCCAGCCTGGGCAACAGGGCAAGACTCCAACTCAAAAAAAAAAATTATTTTATGATGATTTCACTGATTTCAGTATCTCCTATGAAGTTTTTACTAAAAAGAAATCAAACGATATGAAATACATAAAGCTACAACATAAAATCGGTAAGCAGTCTCTCACAATACCTAAGACACAGATTTCAGGTTTCAGAAGGACATAAAACCAAATCATAGATTTGTTCCTTGCTTCCTGACCTCTCTTGAGTATTGGCTTCAACTACAGAATGGGAAAAGAATCCCTATTATGCTATGGTACCAGGCAACCATGAAACAAAATATAAAACTGGCAATAAAACATGCTTAGAAATTAGTAACTATTATAATGGTAACTATTATTATTAACTATTATTTTTAACTGGTCTCACTGTGTTGCCCAGGCTAAAGTGCAATGGCCCAATCATAGTTCCCTGCAATCTCGATGCCCTGGGCTCAAGGGATCCTCCCACCTCAATCTCCCAAGTAACTAAGACTACAGGTAGGCGCCACCACACATGGTTAATTTTTTTTATTTTTTAGAGACAGGGTTGTGCTATGTTAATCAGGCTGGTCTTGAAACCCTGGCCTCAAGAAATTCTCTCACCTCAGCCTCCCAAAGCACTGGGGTTACAGGGCATGAACCACCATGCCCAGGCTATTTTTATTCTTAAGAGAGAAGTACTAACAATCAGAGGATCAGAGCCAAGCCAGGCACGGTGGCTCACGCCTGTAAACCTAGCACTCTGAAAGGCAGGGGCGAGAAGATTGCTAGAGCCCAGGAGTTTAAGACTAGACTAGGCAACATAGTGAGACCTTGTCTCTACAAAATATCAAAAAATTAGCCAAGCATGGTGGGAAGCAACTATAGTCCCACCTACTTAGGAAGCTGACATGGGAGGATTGCCAGGTGTTCGAGACTGCAATGAGTCAGATTGTGCCACTATACTCCAGGCAGGGCAAAAAGTGAGACCCTGACTCAAAAAAAAAAAAAAAAAGAAGATTAGACCCAAATTATACCATATTTCTGACATGGCAATGTATATACTTTAAGGAAAAAAAACCCCACATTTACTAATTTTTCATTAATTTCTTTTTTTTTTGTTTTTTTTTGAGTTGGAGTCTCACTCAGTTGCCCAGACTGGAGTGCTGTGGCCACTCCCGGCCACCGAAGCCTCGACCTGCTGGGCTCCGGCGATCCTTCCGCCTCAGTCTTCCAAGTAGCCGGAATTACAGGTATGCGCTACCACGCCCAGCTGATTTTTAGATTTATTGTAGAGACGAGGTCTCGCTGCCCAGGCGGGTCACGAACCCGCGGGCTCAGGCAATCCACTCACCTCAGCCTCCCAAAGGCGCGGGATTACAGGCTGAGCCACCGAGCCCAGCTCATTAATTTCTACATGGTTGACACACTCAAAATAAAAGTGTTTTTATTCTTCTATAAGACTCCAAATATCATCAATTAAAGACACAATGGGATCAGAGTCACTATATACCGGGTTTTCATATTTTTCTTTTTTTTGAGTTGGAGACTCACTCTGTCACCCAGGCTGGAGTGCAGTGGCATGCTCACAGCCACTGCAGCCTCAATCTGCTGGGCTCAGGTGATTCTTCTGCCTCTGCCTTCCAAGTAGCTGAAACTACAGGTATACACTACCACACCTGGCTAATTTTTCATTTATTGTAGAGGTGAGGTCTCACCAAGTTGCCCGGACTGGTCTCAAACCCATGGGCTCAGGCAATCCTCTCATCTTGGCCTACCGAAGTCCTGGGATTATAGGCTTGAGTCACCATGCTCACTCTACTGTTTTTTTTAAAACATAGACAGGTATCTATGGGTGCAGATAAATGATCTGGTCGTCTAGAAAGGCTTTTGTCCATTAAAATAAAGAATATACTTTAGGACCAAACTATTATGATCTTACTGGTGTGGGTTGTGGAAGAAACGTGAGATTTAGCTCAAAAGTAAGGAAGAGCCGGGCTCGGTGGCTCAGCCTGTAATCCCGCGCCTTTGGGAGGCTGAGGTGAGTGGATTGTCTGAGCCTGCGGGTTCGAGACCCGCCTGGGCAGCGAGACCTCATCTCTACAATAAAAATAAAAAAATTAGCTAGGCGTGGTAGCACATGCCTGTAGTTCCGGCTGCTCGGAAGGCTGAGGCGGAAGGATCGCTGGAGCCCAGCAGGTCGAGGCTGCGGTGGCCGGGAGCGGTCACTGCACTCTAGTCTGGGTGACAGAGTGAAACTCCAACTCAAAACAAACAAACAAAACTACTATGATCTTACTGGTGTGGGTTGTGGAAGAAACATGTGAGATTTAGATCAAAAGTAAGGAAGAGCCGGGCTCGGTGGTTCAGCCTGTAATCCCGCGCCTTGGGAGGCTGAGGTGAGTGGATTGCCTGAGCCTGTGGGTTCGAGACCCGCCTGGGCAACTTGGAGAGACCTCATCTCTACAATAAATCAAAAAACTAGCCAGGTGTGGTAGCACGCGCCTGTAGTTCCAGCTACTTGGAAGGCTGAGGCGGAAGGATCGCTGGAGCCCAGTGGCTTGAGGCTGCAGTGGCTGGGAGCGGCCACTGCACTCCAGTCTAGGCAACAGAGTGAGACTCCAACTCAAAAAAAAAAGTAAGGAAGATCCCATGCTAATCTGAAATGCAGGAAAAATTAAATTAAATTAAAATTAAAATAAAGGAAAAGTTGGGTGCAGTGGCTCACACTATAATCCATTTGGGAGACAAGAGGCAGGAGGATTGCTTGAACCTGGGAATTCAAGACCAGATTGGCAACATAGTGAGACCTCTTCACTACAAAAAAAAAAAAAAAATTAGCTGAGCATGGTGGTGATCACCTATTGTCCCAGCTACTTGTAAGGCTGAGGCAGAAAGAGCGCTTGAACTCTCAGGAGTTTGAAACTGTAGTGAGCCATTACCATGCCACTGCACTCCAGTCTAGGAGACAGAGAAAGACTTCAACTCAAAAACAAAACCAAAAAAATAAACAGAAAGAAGAAAACTGTAATTAAGGATAGACTCCTCCAAAAACTCACTTTGGTCTCTTTTTATATGGTTGCTGAGGTGGTGTGATTGCCTTTGGTTCTGGAGAGTCTGGGGGAGAAGGATCACCACCAGGGAGCTCTGGAGGGAGAGGGAGGTCTGTGAGTAAATGACGTGTCCTTTGTTCCTTCTCTTTCTTTATGGGTTTTGAAGGAAGAGTTTCTTTTGGACTAAACAACAGAAAGGAAGAGAAGAAAAATATTACAAATACTTTAGAAAGATGCAAATAAAATTTTTCAAAGCTTATAATGCTTGACTATTAAAAGATTAAGAATTTTACTTTTAAAGTAAAAATCTGTAATATAAGAACATAGAATTTAACACACCTAAAGATATTTAAATTTTCAAAACGAAAAATGTATAGTATATTAAAGAAACAATGAAAAATGTGATATAACTTGTAGGTCCTTTATCAAACTCTTAATGTCCTTCCTAAGATTTCATTTTGATTTCTGTTGAGATAAAATACAATGCAGGAAGTAATCATCTGAAATTCACAAAGTATTACTGCAACTCATGGAGTTCATCAACCCTAATCTATATTTTAACAAAGATTTAAATAACAAATAAAAGTTCAAAAATTTAACACTATTATATTACTAAAGATGTGGTTAGACTTAGAAAAAAGAGCCTGTAATCCCAGCACTTTGGGAGACAGAGGCAAGAGGACTGCCTGAGCCCATGGGTTCAAGATCAGTTTGGACAATGTGGCAAGACCTCATCTCTATAATTAAAAAAAAAAAAAATTAGGTGTGGTAGCATATGCCTGTGGTTCCAGCTACTTGGAAGGCTGAAGAGAAAGGATCACCTGAGCCCAGGAGGTCGAAGCTGTGGTGACAGTGAAAGTGCCACTGCACTCCAGCCCGGGTGACAGAGTGAGACTCTGATTTAAAAAAAAGAAGGTAGGGCTCTGTGGCTCAGCCTGCAATCTCAGCACTTTGGGAGGCCGAGACGAAAGGATTGCCTGAGCCCGCGGGTTGGAGACCCACCCGGGGAACTTGGTGAGACCTCGTCTCTAAAATAAATCAAAAACTAGCCGGGCGTGGCAGCACGCGCCTGTAGTTCCGACTACTTGGAAGGTTGAGGTGGAAGAATCGCCTGAACCCAACAAGTTGAGGCTGCAGTGTCCAGGAGCCTGCCACTGCACTCCAGTCTGGGCAACAGAGTGAGACTCCAACTCAAAAAAAAAAAAAGAACTCAGAAAAAAGAAATAGTTATTTGAGTGTTTTGTAAGAAATGCAACTAAATGTAAAAGATATCTACAAAAAGAAAAAGAAAGGTAAGTTATAAATCAAAACTAGGCCAGGGGTAGTGTCTCATGCCTATAATCCTAGTACTTTAGGAGGCCAAAATGAGAGGATTATTTAAACCAAGGATTGTTTAAACCTGGAAGTTCAAGACTAGCCTGGCAAACATAGAGAAACCTCGTCTCTACAAAAAATAATAGCCAGGCATGGTGGCATGTGACTAAAGTCCCAGCTACTTAGGAAGCTGAAGAAAAGGACTGCCTGAGCCCAGGACTTTGCAGCTGCAATGAGCTGTGATTGTGCCACTGCATTCCAGCCTGGGCAGCAGAGTGATACCCCGACTCTTAAATAAATAAATAAAAGCTAGTGAAAAATTTACTGAATTATTCTACTCATTGTAAGTAGGAGGCAACCTTCTCTCTGAACAGCCAAAATACATAGCCATCAAACTAAAAATCTAAGGAGAAAGAGTCCAAGCAACTATCTCAGAATCATTACGGCTGCTGGCAGCAAAAGGCCTCTCATGATCATCAGCAAATTACAGTAGGCAGTGGTGGGGGGGAGATGGATAATTTTCCTAAAAAACATGGGAAAAGTCACTTTTCAGATCCTGTTCTTTAGCCATCTCTACTTAAATATTGATTTTGAGTCACAGTCTCACTGTCACCCAGGCTGGCTATCTATTCATCTTTCCAATCTATCTAACTTATCTTTTTCTATCTATCTATCTATCTATCTATCTATCTATCTATCTATCTATCTATCTATCTATCTATCTACCTACCTACCTACCTACCTACCTACCTACCGATCTATCTACCTACCTATTTGCCTGTCTATCTAACCTATCTTATCCATCCATCCATCCATTCATCTATTTTGAGTCAGAGTCTGTCACCTAAATTGGAATGTACTGCAGCCTCGACCTGCTGGGTTCAGGGGATCCTTCAGTCTCAGTCTTCCAAGTAGCTGAAACTACAGGTGCACACCACCACACCCAGTTAATTTCTTGATTTATTGTAGAGATGCAGTCTCATCAAGTTGCCCAGCCTGGTCTTGAACTCATGGGCCCAGGCAACCTTCTCAGCCCCACCTCCCAAAGTGCTGGGATTACAGGCATGAGCCACCATGTCCAGCTTCAATTTATTTATAAGGAAAAATTTTGTGCCATGGACATCATCAGAAAAGATAGATAACTGTAGTACAGCATACTAATTTACATGTACAAATTAAACCAAGCTAGATAGCTGCACTTTTCTATCCCTCCACAGTATCAGGAGGTTGAAAAAGACCTTGTCTCTACAATATATTAAAAAATTAGTTGGGCACAGTAGCACTTGCCTGTAGCTCCAGCTACTTGGAAGGCTGAGGTGGAAGGATCACTTGAGGCCAACAGGTCAAGGCTGCAGTGCCTGTTAGCATGCTACCACACTCTAGCCTGGGCAACAGGGTGAGGCATCGACTCAAAAATAAAAAAAAAAATTAAAGTGGTAAATTTGTATTAAAAGTTTTAGTTGAGGCAACCCCTTCAGGGTCCCTTCCCACTGTGGGAGCTTTTCTGTCCTCTCAATAAATCCTGCTTTAAAAAAAAAAAAAGAAAATTAGGTGAATACATAAAAAAGGGGAACAAGGCACTTTTTTTTTTTTTGGAGTCAGAGTCTCACTCTCTCGCCCAGGCTGGAGTGCAGTGGCACGCTGCCTCAGCCTTCTAAGTAGCCAGAACTATAGGCGTGCACTACAATGCCCAGATAATTTTTGATATACTGTAGAGACGAGGGCTCACCAAGTTGCCCAGGCTGGTCTCGAACCCCTGGGCTCAGGCAATCTACTTGCCTCTACCTCCCAAAGTGCTGGGATTACAGACATGAGTTACTGTGCCCAGGAGCCAAGCTTTCTACTAGCAAAATCCTAAAGCAAAGTTGAATGTTCATACGGATTCTTTCTTTTCTACACAGAGCTCAATACTTTTAAAGATACAGCCTTTAAGAATAGTATAGGCTGGGCACAGTGGCTCATGCCTTAATCTCAGCATTGCTAGAGGCCAGGAGCTTGAGACCAGCCTGTGCAACATAGAAAGACCTCATCTCTAAGAAAATAAAAATAGCCAGGCTCGCCGGGCTCAGTGGCTCAGCCTGTAATCCTGTGCCTTTGGGAGGCTGAGGTGAGTGGATTGCCTGAGCCCGCGGGTTTGAGACCTGCCTGGGCAGCGAGACCTCATCTCTACAATAAATAAAAAAATCAGCCAGGCGTGGTAGCACCTGCCTGTAATTCCAGCTACTCGGAAGGCTGAGGCGGAAGAATCGCCGGAGCCCAGCAGGCGAGGCTGCGGTGGCCGGGAGCGGCCACTGCACTCCAGTCTGGGTGACCGAGTGAGACTCCAACTCAAAAAAAAAAAAATAATAAAATAAAATAAAAATAAAAATAAATAAAAGGAGCCAGGAGTGGTGGTGTATGTCTGTAGTTTCAACTACTTGGTCAGCTGAGGTGGGAGAACTGCTTGAGTCCAGGAGTTTGAGGCTGCAGTGAGCTGATAGCATCACTGTACTCTAGCCTGGGCAACAGAGCAAGACCCTATCTTTAATACACAATAATAATGTAGACTCATCGAAGTCCAGTAAACTCCAAATGAACCAAGCTATTAGAAAAACAGAAGGAAAGATTTTAAAAATCCTATGTGTTTAACTGAAATGTCTTCAAGTATACAGATCATCTCCTTAAAGCAGGACTATATCCATCAATAACTATGGTCATGCAGTCATAAAAAATAATTAAATCATGTCCTTTGCAGCAACATGGATGGAGTTAGAGATTATTATCTTAAGTAAACTGACTCAGAAACAGAAAACCAATCACCACATGTTCTCACTCATACATGGGAGATAAACAGTATAAAGATGGAAATAATAGGACACTGGGGACACCAGTAAGGGGAAAGAGGGGAGGGAGATTAGAGATCAGATACTACCTAAGGGCAAAATGTTCACTATCTGTGGAATGGGCCATCTGAGACCCAAATCCCACCTTTACACAACATGTCCATGTAGTGAGCACACACACATATCCCTGAATCTAAAACAAAAATAATTTAAAAAAAATAAAGTCATGGCCGGGCTCGGTAGCTCAGCCTGTAATCCCAATACTTTGTGAGGCCAAGGCGAGTGGATTGCCCAAGCCCATGGGTTCAAGACCAGACTGGGCAACTTGGCAAGACCACGTCTCTACAATAAAACAAATATTAGCCGGGCATGGTACTGTGTGCCTGTAGCTCAAGCTACTTGGAAGGCTGAGGTGGAAGGATCGCCAGAACCCGCAAGTCGACACTGGGGTGCCCTTGAGTGTGCCACTGCACTCCAGTCTGGGTGACAGAGTAAGACTCCAACTCAAAAAAAAA